GCTGTCTCTGCTATGTGGTCAAAATACAGAGCTTCCAGGCGCAGAAGGATGAAGCTAAAATGTGTTGTAGAGAAAGAAATTTACTCTCGATTTCTCTTCCCAGGTCCATGAATTGTCCTTGGAGCGGTTTGACCTCGAAGAAGAAGTTTTGTCTGACCTCAGTTTTGATGATGAGCTCCCTGGCTGGGAGATGCCATCTAATTAGCGCAGCACCGTCTTCATGTCATTTCCAAAAGTTCTGCAGCGTTTGATGAGGAATGAAAGGCTAACGCTGTGAAGTGACGTGTACGTCAGATCCAATGTTTTCTTTTTCTCAAAATATGTAACAGTGAAAGAAATGGGCAATGAACCAAGTGTTGCTAAAATTAAGCCCAAAAATATATGCTGGTTTTGGAGAGGAAGTGTTTTCCTGTCGACTTCTCCAGGTCAGCTATATATGGAAGCCAGCTTAGCGGCACGATTATTATTTAGACAGTGTAACAGATGTGCGTAGCACTTCTAGAAAAATAAAAGGAACGAGCCCAGCCCGCCAGAGAGCTCAGTTTTTTTCTGATGTGCAGGAGGAAGCCAGCGACGGCAGGAGGAGACACCTTACCAGCAGGAGTAGCTGTGGTCCTGACACACACCCGCACAGGCACAGAGACAATACTTCTCCGAGTGAAATTTCTCGTAGGAGAAAGAAGCCGAAGTCCTGGCATAACGTGTTGAACCACGTGTGCCGCATGGGTTGAGCCCCAATGACAAGTAGTTGGGACGTTGTCACGATGTGAAGCAAAGATGCTTTTTAACAGGTTTTTCATTCAAGTAAGCCAAATTTTGTAACTCTGTGTGGTGAGTGAACCTCAGAGGCAGCACAAGCAACAGGAAGGGGCGTCAGGCTCCCCAGATCACGAGGGGATGGGGAGGGTGGGGATGCTGGTTTGGTAACAGACCCACGCTCAGGTTTTTTTGACCACTGTCTGTGGAAAAAAAGCTGATTGAAAAATGGGAGAGCGCAGGCAGGAGCCACAGGAGTGATCTGAGATCCCTCTTGAAACAAGAGGAGCATGGCCTCTTCAATTTAACAAAAAAATTGAGGAAAGGGGTGATTCAACGCCTGATCACCGGTGAGCTTTTTAACCGGGAAGGCGAAGGTGAAACAGGGTCCAGCGGCTGGACGACGAATGTGGAGAAATCCACGCAGGAAGGAAGCCGGAGCGCTTCCCGGGGGATAACACAGCAGGGAGGGAACGGCATCCTCCACCGCGGCGAGCTCTGGGACGGGGGCTGTATTTATTTTATGTTATACCTGCTGCTGGCGGGGAG